GATGATGATGATGATGATGATGATGATGATGATGATGATGATGATGATGATGATGATGATGATTATGATGATAACAACAACAACAACAATAATAATAATAATTAGAAAAATTAAGATTATAATATATAAAATAGTATATTAATATTTATATGACGAACAATTTATAATTGTCTACAATTACATTATACTTAATTTGTAATAATAGATAATAAGTCATGAAAAGAATTTTATAATTTTTGATATTACTAAATAAAGGATTAAGATTCATAAAAATTTATTTATTAAATTTTCAAACTATAAATTATATAACGTAAGAATTATTATTAATAACAAATATTTTGCTTGTAATATATACATAATTACATTATAAATTAATAAAATAATTACAAATTAATAAATACTTTCTAGTGTATTGATAATTTATTTATAATAATAATATTAATATTAATTTTCTTATAATCATACATAATTAAATAATTACATATAAGAAAAAAAATAAACAATATATTTATTATAAGAATTTTATCAAATAAATAATAAGTAAATAAAGATTTTTCAATTTTCTACCAAAATTCATATTAATCAAATAAAATCAATTAAAATTTTTAACAGATAAAATATTTGTTAATATTTTCAGAGATTTTATTTTTATACTTTATAAATTATACTTTATACTTTATAAATTAATTTATACTATAATTTATACTTTATAAATTAATAATATGAAATATGTCTATATTTCAAAGTTTCAAAGTTGTGTAAAACCAAAATGACAGTTTATTATCAAAGAAATAAAAAACATTAATATATATTGTTACATAAAAATAAATAGAATTGATTATTAATAATATAAATTTTTTTTAGAAGAAAAAGATAGAAAATAATTTCTTTTTATATTATATACGTATGTATTATTTTTTATAAAATTAATCTTAGAGATATACATACATTTATTTATTCCTTTATTTATGCATTATTTTATCAATCAATAAGATCATGATCTTAAAAACCTATATTATTTATAATAAAAAAAAATTGTATGTACAAAAATTTTCATTATTATTATACATATAGATCTTACCTTATCATCATAAAAACCCTGATCGTCCGTTCTTTGCTGTCCGAGTAAACGATCAGTTTCCAGGTCAGTATCTGCTTCTTCTTCATCTGGACCTTCCTCAATTTCTATATCTGCTTCTTCAGTCGTACGACGAATTTCCGATTCTTCATTATTATTTTCTACACAAATTCTCCGTCTGCCATCCGATAGACTATATTTTAGTTAGATGTTCTTAAAAAAAAGTAATTATACAATCTATCACAAAAATATTCGGATAATGATATAACTTTGAATTTTATAATCTATATCTACAATAAATATATATAACCAAAAATATATTTTGCAATATATTGAAATAATATATAAAATTAATATATAATATTAAAAAATAAAAAAACTTTTATCTTAGTATAAATTATTGTTTAAATATTTAAGAAAATATCGAAAGAATAAATTTTTATTGTAGAAATATTTGGATTTGGATTATACTACGAATTGAAGTTAAAATAATTAAAATAGCAATTTATTATATAAGTTAAATATTGACTTTTCTTCTCAATTTTATAGTATATTTTAAGTAATTTTTGTTAAAAATTATATTTTGTTATTACAGTCAAACAAAATCGATATATCAAGAACACCTATAATTCGAAAATTTCTATAAGAATACAATTTTCATTCTTTTCTTTCCACTACTAAAATCTTTATAAGTTGAAATAAAATTTACTTTAATTCAAATTTAATTAATTCGTTATTTATCACATATTCAAATATATTATTTTATTTTTATTTTACTATAACTATAACTTAAACTGATATAGGCTTCTATAAACCAAAATTTATTTTTATTTGTATCTATACTATTTTTACAAATTTATATTTGCATGTCACTAACGAGATGTAAACTAATTATTCGATATTATTTTTTTTTCAAGAATTATTAGAATTCTATTATTATAATTATTATAATTTTTATTAGAATTATTTCAAATAACATAAAATGAAAACAAATTTTTATTTATTTTTATTTTATTTAATATATTTTTACTTAATTATATTTTATTTAATATGTAATATATATTATTCATAAAAGTGAATATGTATCTATATTGATAATGAAAATAAGTGTGAAAAAGAATATATGTATTCGAAAATAAAAATGCAATGTATAACCGTGTGATTATTTCTATAAATAATAAAAATACAAAAAAATATTTCGGATGAAAATTGTATAATATCGGAATATATCATGATAATAATTATTTGATTTTCAAATATGTTAAAGAAGGCTACATTCAAATTTTTAAATCCTATATTTTTTATTAGATATTTTTTTTAGCATACAATATATAAGTTAAAATTAAAATATATATATATTCCAATTATTCCAAATTTCCTTCGTTTAAATATCTCTTGAAAATTTCGATAAGTTGAAATCTCTAAAATCCAAAGATTTTAATATTTTAAAATTTTTCTTTGAAATCTAATTTTTTAAAATCCAATTATAATGCATTTTATTTTTTATTCTTATTTTCTTATTTTTTTCTTTAATATTATTGTTTTTCATCCATTGAATAATTTAATTTTTTACATAAAAATAATATTAATACAAAATTTATAACCTAATATTTTAATAACCTAAATTTATAATATATATTTGAATATTTTCGAAAATTCAAAATGTATTGTTCTTTTTTTATTTTATAATATACACACAATAAATCTGCAAATTTTTTATTTTTTTATATTATATTTTTTTATATTATTATATAAAAAAATATTCAAAACATTCTTGATTTATTTAAATATTATTTAAATCTGTCCGAATATTTTTGTGATTCATTACATATCAATTAAAAATATAAATAATTAATTAATTTTTTGTGTAAAATAATTTTTTATAAACTTTTGTATATCATATTTTTATCTATTTAAATTAAAATTAATTAATTAATTAAATTAAAATTTTAATTTAGATTTCATTATTTTACATATATTACATATATTACATTAACTTAATAATAAAGTTAAAGATAGGAGATTAATGATCTCTAGTAATATAATAAAATCTAAATTAAAATTTATTTATTAAGAGATAATTATTTTGTTTATAAACTTATATATTTTGTTTATATATTTATTAAAACATTCAAATTAATCTTTTATGATAAAAACTGTAAATTATAAAATTAAATTATAAAATTTTAATAATATTTACAATAATATCATTAAATATCAAATTAATATTATAAAATATAACTAAATATACCTTAATAATAAAATATATCTTATTATAGAGATAAATTTAGAAAAATATTATCGCATATAAAACAATTTTTTATATAATTAAAAAAATATTTTATATTACATACATTATTCATATTTGTAATTTTTAATAGTTCATATTCATTTTTAAGTGAATAATTATTTATTTTTAAATAAATAATAAAACTAATAAATTAAATAATAAATTAAAATATATATAATTAAAATTAGTTTGTTTTAATTTTTATTTATATATTTATTTAAGCAATAATATTATATATATTAAAGCAATTAATATAATCATTACAAATTGTAAATTATTTATTGTATAAAAATGTTGCATAAAAAAGTTGCATGATGAAGAAGAAAATGTAATTTATTATTATTAATTTTTTTGCAAATGAATATGTAAAGATTCAATATTGTTTTTCTAATTATAATCATATATTTTTTAATATAATTAATCAATATAGATTGTTATTCTTTAAAAAAAATTACTAAATTATTTATTATAAAAAATTATTGGAGAGATTAATTGAAGAGATATTTTAATTTAAATTTTATAAATCTTATCATATGAAAGAGAAACAATAGTCTTTTTTATATTTATCTTGCATACAATAAATTATATAAATTTAATAAATTTAAATTAAAATATGAAATTAAAATATCTCTTAAATTTACAATTTCTACAATAAATAGTTTATTTTAGAATATTTTATAAATAGTTTTTTTTTTAGGATATAGTAATCTGCAACATAATAATAATATATAAAAAATTAATATATAAAAAAATACATAATTCCAATTAATAAAACAAAATTAATAAATCTTTATATATTCTATTCTCATTTATAAAGAAATAACATTAAATTACATCTTCTTTTATATCATATAATATTTGTATGATACATTTTCATACAATAAATAATTTACAAATTATTTGAAATCATGTTGTTTAATTGATTTTCTATAAATATTTAAGCTATGAAATATTAAATATTAAAAAAGAAAGAAAATATAATACCTTGGTATCCAAATTGGACTGACATTGGATTCAGGTATTTCTTCTGTAGAAGATTTCACAGGTAAAGTCTTAGTTCTCTGTAAAGTCATTCTAATGTCTTTAATTGCAGCTTCAACTTCACCTCCTATTTCCAGATTAACATTTTGTCTAGCCTGAGGTGCTGGAGGTGGAGGCGTGCCAAGAGGATCCAAACCATCAAGCTGAAGCTCATTTGTATCATATGAATTTTCTTTTTTAGGAATAAATAAATCAGGTGATGAAGTTTTTAAAGAATGTAAAATATCTTTACTAACAGTTAAGCTAGAAAGATCGTTTCCAATTGAATCATTTTCTGTTGTAACTGGATAAGTAGTATCATTGACACGACTACGTTGAATAATTTCTTTTTCAATTTCATTAATTTGCCGCTTCATTAACATCACAGTTGGATTATTATTATCAGTATCACTAGCATGTCCACTAGATAAGCCATCTTCAAGAACTGGCATACTAGCATATATTCTCAATGAATCTGAATTATTTCCTAAATCACCCACTGATCCAAGAAGACCACTAGCTGGTATCAATTCATTATCCATCATCATTAAAGAAACTTCACTATCAAGATCTCCACAATTACTATCGCAATCAGTTGTTTCAGGACTCAATGTAAAATTGCGAGAGTGCCCAACTTGTAGTCCAACCTCTGTTTCTCCGAGATCTTCACTACTACCAGTGCCTACTGAGAGATCTAAGAAATTATTTTCATGTTCAGCAATCTAAAACAATGCAAAATCAAAATTTGAAAAATAATTTTATGCTAAATAAAATATTTTATTTCTTTCTTATGAATAATTTTCAAATTCAACAAAATTTAATTTCAAATAATAATTAGCTTATATAAAAAATTATATAAATAATAATATTAATAATAATATTTATTACTTAAACATTTAGAAATTATTTATTCTTTATATAAATATACTTACATTTTGGGGAAAATCTGATCTTTGTTTTTTAGGAGATTCATGTACTAAAACTTCTTCTATTGTTGGTGGACCAGTAGCCAATCGTTGACCAACATAAGCGCTTCCTCCTTGTCTTCGTAATTCGTAATCTAGATCCTTAAATAATAGATAATAAAATCAATTTTAAATAAAATAAAATCATAAAATATTTTTTAGTAAAGATTATTAATTAACGTCATAGAATTAAATTATTTGCTGCAACATTAAAAACTAAAAGCAAATTTAATAAATTAACAAACATACAATATTCTTTCTAAATTAAATCAATCAAAATTATAAAAATATATTTTTAATAGTACTTCCATTAAAAATCCAGAAGTAATTCAAAGAAAATGTTTTGGTCTTTCTAATTGAGATTTCTTTGAATTTCTATCGATTTTTACCATTATTTTGTCTTTAATCTGTTAGCTATGTATGATGAATATATTTATCATAAAGAAAATCAATTTTTTATTATGTAATATATATATTATTATTTTTTTATTTTTGCAACAATTTAAATATAAATAAACATTTTTTAAATAAACCATTTTTTAATACAGCTAATAGTTAAAAATTCTTTTATATCTATAGCTCTATAAACTTGTTTTCAAATTTCATGATCAGACAAAATATTATAGATACATTCCAACAAAAATGAAGAAAAAACCTAATTTATGAATTGTATTGTATTTTGTATATATAGTATTTATATTATTATTATTATATTATATAGTATTTATATATCTTATATTATATAGTATTTTGTATTATTATAATAACAATGAAAACAAACATAAACAAAGTTTTTGTACCTGAAATGGAAAAGATTCAATACTATTTTCCTTTTCCTTTGTTGGTGGTGGACATTTAAAAAATTCTTCAAGTACTTTTCGAGTTTCTGAGAATTCATATAAATAATCAAATGTACTACCACCAGATGATACTAAATTACTTATATTATCTGTTGAAATAATTGATGGTTTTAAAGAGTCTTCTTCTTCATCTTCAATTTTTGGAGATGGAGAAGAGGCATTTACAGCATGATTATCAGAATAATTCATATTTGTTTCTACCACAGCCTTTTCTACAATGATTTCTGTAGAAGTATGTTCCTTCTAAAAATAAACACAAATGTAATAAAATAAAATAAAAAATTTTCAATATTAATATATTCTTTTAATTTACTTCTATAAACTTTTATATATAGAATGAATAAAAAATTATTATATAAAATAATTTATTATCTATTAATTAAATTAATAATTAGATAAAAAGATTTTAATAAATTATATAACATTTTAAGAAACATATTGAATCAATACAATTTTTTTGAGATTAAAGTGATTTTTTTTTCAAATTCAATGTATATATATATATTTTTTAATATTATGTTGTTGTTGTTGTTGTTGAAAAAACAAATTCAATTGTACATATCCAATAACATATGATGATCTTGATCTTGATGATTCTCAAAATCAAATAAAATCTCAAAACTGTGTCATAATAATTGCTGAAATATTCCAAGTGAATCCAATGTAATTTCCAATGTATTTCTTTCAAAATTAATAAGTATTAACCAAATCCATAATATAAACATTAATTTCTTATATTTTTAATTTATATTTCTGAGTTAATAATATAAAACAATACTATTACAATACTAATATAAAACAATACTTAATAATACTACATACAATGACAAAATTCGATACATGTGAAAAAAATATAGTATAAAAATGCTATACATGTTCAAGCTTATTATGGAAGAAAGTTTTCTCATCCAGAACATTCGTCTCTTTATGATACCGTTTGAAAAAATGCAAAAAAATATAAGTATAACACTTTGAACATATATTCTAAATAAAAAATAAATGAAACAATTTAATGTTTTATTTGATTTTTCAATTCAAAATCAACTTATTATGAACAAGATTATCGTAGATTACTGAATTCATTTTTTCTACAACATGATATTAAAAAAAAAAATGCAAAAATCTTGATATCTCAAAAAAAAAATGAGATATAAAAATCAAATTGTAGAAATCCATTCAATGCATATCTTAAGTGCTACATTGCTAATTTTAAATTATTGCTAAATTAAAATATTTTTTCATTCAATTCACCAATAGGCAATAAATTATTTTAGATAATAATTCTTATTGACACTTTAAATATCTATATGTATATATAACTTTATATTTATGTATATTTTATTTATATATGTATAGAGGATATCATTGATTTAATAGTATATAAGCCAAAAAAAGATGAATCTACATAAAAAAATAAATCAAAAAAAGATATTATATTTTATTATTATTATTATTATTATTATTATTATATATTTATTTCTTTTATATTTATTATTATATTATATTTGATTATATTTATGAAATATGTTATAATATACAAAATTATATTTATTTTAAATATACCTCATTATGATTTGGTGTTGTTGGTAATATTCTTTGTGGAAAACCAGGTCTTGGTGTCATATATACAGATGGCGATGACAGAAGACATGGAAGTTGAGTATCACGTATTCCATAACGTCTTGGACTTTCAGAATATTGTGCTATTGGTAATTCACCAATTACTCTTGTAACTTTATGATTTCGTTCTGAAGATGATGATTCTACTTCACAATCACTAGCTGGAATCACCTAAAAAAATATATTTTATATATTTTATCTCATATGACAATAAATTAATAACATCTCATTTTTAAATTATTTTACTATTTTAAATAATTTTAATATCCTATATATATTATTATAAACTGTATTATAAACTGTATTATATTTTTTCAATATAAAATTTTAATTAGCTTATAGATAAATATTAATTATTATTAAATATAAAGATAAATATATTAAATAAAATAAGATGAAATACCTTAAAAAATTCCGAAGTATTACGATGATACGCTGTTGTTGGACTTGGAGTACTTTCAATGCTAGAACTTAAAGGTTCTGGAGGAATGCAACCTTTTTGAGATCCTTCAGTCTCAAGATTTAAATTAGTTGATGTAACTTGATTAGTGTTATTAGTTAAATCTAGTGGCAAATTTTGCCAATTATCATCAATATCATCAAAAACAACTACTTCACCATCACTAACAATAGCCATGCTTCTTGCTGGTGTAGTATGACTTGATTGATAATCTATGCAGCTTTTTGACAATCCATAATCTAAATCTGCAGTATTTTTTGACACATCATATTCTACATTATTGCTATTCAAAATTGAGTCATAATTAATAATACGATTGCTCTGATTGCTTTTAGGGGAATCATAATCAATAGATTTTGCTTTATGTCGCACCGAATGTATTTCTGAAGAAAATACAGTTTCTGTAACTTCTCTATTAGAACGCTGTTTTCTTGTATCACCACATCTAAAAAAATTTACATTCATGTATAATTTTTAATTACTATATATATAATAATTTTTTAAGAAAATAGTAATTTATTTTTCAAATTTAATAATCTATTTAAAAAATACAATTTTTTTTATTTAGATCTTATTTAGATTATTTATTAGATATTTATATTAATATTATGTAAAAATAATTTTTAAACATAAAAAATAATTTTTGAATTACCGGCTTCTTAACTCCCATACAGTTTGAGTATTTGGAGATTTATTATTTCTTTTAACTGATAGCTTGTTGTCTATTTGAATATCTTCATTATTTAAAGAATTTGATGCTGCAAGAAATCGTGATTTTCTAGCTGCTACTTTACCTCGACTTTGAGAAAAAACTTCTCGTCCACCAGCAATTTCTATAATTCTAAAACATAATTATCATGTGCATAATTATTAATTTTATATAATTTATTAGATTTCTAATAATAAAATAATGATAATTTCTAAATAAAAAATTGTTTGAATTTTTCTTTTCTAAGCAAAAGATTAAATAAATATTATATAATATGGATTATTAAATGAAAAGTTCATATATATAAAAATATATAAAAAAATAAATTTTAAACAAAAAAAAATAATATTTTAAATTTATTTATTATGATTATTCTATCCATTGATTATTGTATCTATATTGATTATTGTATCCATATTTATTTATATATATTATATTTATTTATTATAGAATATATATATCAAATGATTCAAATATTTTTTCAAATATTTATAATATATTAAGTAAAACTAAAATATAAAAGTATTAAATAAAAAGATAATAATTAAATGTAATAAAATTTTTAAACAATATTAAAATTTCTTTCATAACACTATTCTTTCATAATGCTATTCTTTCATAATATTACTCAAAATATATAATTATAAATTAGTTAGTTATATAATTATAAATTATTTGCAATAATCAAGTTAATTTTATCAAAATTGTAATTATAAAAATCTGTAATAATTTTATTCTTTCTAGTTATCTATAATATAATAAAATTAATTTTAAAATAAACATGTAATAATAAATTTAACTTTTATAAATATCAAATATATGTAACAGATATTATAAAATAGAATTATTTTATTATTTCAAGAACTTTTTTTCTTGAAACTATTTAATTTATAAATCAATAAAAAGATTCTTTCAAACAAGAATAAATAGTATAATATAATTAATTACAATATATTATTTATGATATAAATCAAAATTTTTTGTAATATAATATGTAATGTAATTATTACAATATTTGATTGAATCATATCATTAATTATTAATATATAATTAATTATTAATATATTATTGATAAGTTTTTCAATAAATAATTTAACTTCAAAAAGTTTATTAATATATAATGTCATATCAATATTAAAAAATAAATAGTAAAAAATATATAAAAATATATAAATAATATTCACTCTTCTTCTTAAAAAAATATTAAAAAATAATTTAAAA